CCCCAACCCTCGATTATAGATATTTGATCTAAAAGGATTTATAGACCCTAAGTCAATCCCTGAAGGATATTTGGTTATGCGGGTCTCATTGTCAATGGTCGTATTGTACTCCAGTAGTAGTACATGACAAAATTATGCTAAGTGTTTGGTCATTGGGCTATCTTTTAATAAGGTCTGGAAGACCCTGAATGTGGATTGATCTTTAAGGTGACTAATGACTCATGAATGAAGTTTGCAACTTCTATTTCTAATGCTATGCTACTCTCCAAAAGTCAATATTGACTCACATCATGTTTTTTTTTTAAGGGGACTCACATCATGTTGGTTTGCCTAAAGCAAACAAGTTGTGATTTTTTTTTACACATAGTAATCACTGCCTGAAAATTCTGACCGGCGCAGTTTGAAAATTAAATTCGTGAAAATGACTTCTTGAACTCCTTTTGGCATGAAAGTTTTTCTGGAGAATCTAGACTCGTGGTATTTGATGTCTGCAAAAATATTTTGTTAAAAATATGCTTTGGTGATTCCAGAAAAATTAACGTTTTGGCAGTGTGCTGTCAATTATTTTTTTGCCTGGAGCAATGTTGGGAAAAATTTCAGGAAAAATACTTTTAGACCTTGGATTGCCATGAAAATTTTCGTGTACATTCTAGACTTAATGAACTACATATCTGCAAAATTTTGTGCCAAAATGTGTTACCGTTTTTTCCTATAAAATTCTGCAATCCAGGTCAAAATTCTGGAAATTTTCTGCCATTTTTCAGTTTTTATATCTTGCTATTTTGTGATGTTTTCATGCTGATATGAAACTATGAAATAAAATGAGAGCTTGCTTGGAAAAGTGCTGTTTTTGACTCCCCGAAATAGGAATGAATGGGCCCGGCAGCGAACATGTGCTCATTATTCTTCGGCGAACGGTACTTCTCTCATTTTTCTAATTTATGAATTAATAAACAATAACTCTTGTCATGTCATGTCTTGTGTGTACCAAACGTGATACTCTTTATTTTATGGATGTGCATGACTCAATTGAGAGTTTGGTGTCCAAGACATAAGGGACAATTATATCACATGCTATTGCATGCTTCTCTTTAATTCTATGAGTCATTCATTAGGATGAACCTTGACGATAAATTCTTGACCAAAAATGGTCCACCTATCCCATCAATCCCGGAAGGATTGCTATGACGTTACTATGAGTCAAATTCTTTTTATCCAAGTCTAACTCAATGCATATCACAAATCAATCCCTATAGGATTGCTATACCCCCTTTTTCACCTAGTACGTGGTTTCAGAAGTAACATTTCCCTATCTGCGTTATTTTATTTGCGCAGTCTATTTGATATCACCACCACAACGTACCTCTAAAAGGGCTATCAAAGAAACCTCTGTCTATTGATTAAATACCGAAAGCCCATGATAGGGGATCAATACATATAATTGGGTACGTTGACTGCATTCCTAATGAAGATTGTTTCTCGGCATTAGGGGGAGATAATATACTACTCCGTAGCTTTTTGTAATGCCAAGAAATTTCATAAGAATAAAAACATCTTCATTATTTAAATCCATGTACTAGTTAGATTGAACTGGAAGTTCAAAAGATAATCTATTTGCGATTTTAGCAAATAATCTGCCAAATACATCTATTGATCATAATGATCATAAAAGAAGTGGCTAGGTCATATATCCTTGGACCAAACATATCTATCGATACTCCTTGACACTAGAAGTGTAGGAGATCTATCGGTGAAAGAGATATGGATCATAATACTAGATCTAGTAAAGAAATATCATCACTCTTGAAATAGCTTGAACAATTATGTCTTGCAGACGTTCGTCCAGATGACGAAAAACCCTAGTAAAATTTATAGGTGCACCAAACAAACATAATACTAGGGATGCGGAACGACCAGATCAAAATATCTTTGGGAAATGTTTAATTAGAATCTGGTTGTTTTAGAAATTGCCATTACTTTTACAAATATGGGAGTTTTTACAAAAAGGTTATAGTTGTCGACAACACAATTGCCATTACAAATTGCTTGTTATATAATCTGGATCCAGAGTTAGGCACCAGAAGTGCCATGACTATTTAATATATAAAGGAGCAATTAAGGCATAGCTCGACTCGCTAAAATGAATAAATTCTCTTTATAACAATACAACATTTGAGCGTTAACCCTGAAGGTTACAAATGGGTGTGTGCATGAAAGAGAAATAAGAATAATGAGGTGATAAAGCGAGTTTGTAGCCTATGGGTTCACGCAGAGACCCTTAATTGATTTTAATCAAATATACTCTCCCACGGTAAATGACATTAAGTTCCGCTACATAATACAATTGGCAGAATAATAAATTTAGATATGCAGTTAAATTTATCTTGAGAAATCCCTGATGGATTCATAATTCTCGAAATGAGGATTTTAAGTATTATTATGTGTCATTATTTACTCTTTAATGGGTTGCGAATGGAGTTAATATCCTCATTGAAGGAATAATATGTACCATTGTGTGCTCGATAAAGGGTTGATAATGAACTTATTTATTATTTATTATCTCAGTCAAGATTGATGGTGTAAACATCAATGAAATATATAAAGAGCTTGATAATGTCAGTTCATGCTTAAAGGCTGAGACTTTTGAAATAAAAAGCTTGTGAAAGCTATAAGTATTATCTCGACTTGAAGATCGAGCTTTTCTTTGAAGTTTTCTTTTATATACACCAGTCAGCCTACATCTAAAAATGTTTTTTTTTCACATGTCTATATGCATATAAGTGTCATGTTTTTATCAAACTAAAGGTTGCCTAATAATCTCTTGAAGCAGATAAGGAACCTTTTTGGACTCGAAGTCCCTTACTTCATTATCGTTGTAAGCACCATTATAGAACCAGAAGTTCCATAACCGCAACATATTTGCGATAAAATTGCTAGCAAAATCTAGTGCTCCTCCTACAAATGAAGTACTTGAATAATGATTGACATATCCTCCAGTATCTTCGAGATACAAAAACATGACATTTATGTAAGAAACCATGATACGGTTTTAATAGGCTACTTGGGTACTGGCTGTTTTTGTTTGATCCATGCAATGCCAAGTTCAAACTGGTTATACAATACCTTTCCCTAAATGTTCAAAATGAGGACAATAATACTTGTGTTGCACAAATGTTATATGAGCTCTAGAAGAGCCATAAGATTATTAGACATTTACTCTAGTGACAATCCAGAAGATTTGTCCAATCCATTTCTTCAAATTTTTGAAATATATGTAGAACTTGAAGATTGTTATCTTCGGGGGGAGACGTGAAGTACATTTACTCGAATCAATCCGGAAGATTGAATGTGAAATCCTGAAGATTAAGTCATAAAAGACTAACAGTTGCGCACTATTTGCAACACATAAATTCATAAATATCATGTACTCTTTTCCTCACTAGTTTTCTCCCATTGGGTTTTTCTAGTGTGGTTTTTAACGAGGCATGAGTATGATATAATAATGTAAATGAGAAAATGTTACAAAATAATTGCTTCAGTCGACAAACCCCAAAATCCTGAAGATTATGCCGATTATGCCTTGAAGGCGGTTGTACTCTTTTTCCCTTAACTAAGTTTTTCCCACAGGGTTTTCTTAAGTTAAGGTTTTTAATGAGGCGACCAATACAATATATGTTTTTACATATATCATGTACTCTTTTCTTCAACTAGGTTTTTTTTTTCCCACGTGGTTTTCCTAGTGAAGTTTTTTTTTTTTAATGAGGCATAAATGTATGCTATCCATATACCTTGTACTCTTTTCTTGTTTAGGTTTTTCCCACAGGGTTTTCCTAACAAGTTTTTAATGAGGCAAGATCGTGGTGTTATAATGTCCAAGGGGGAGTGTTATAAATCCTTATTTATGGACATTATTATGACATTGATTACTTGTTTTGTAACTGTTGTAACAGTCAATTTGTATAGAGTTATATATATGATGTATAAGGATATAATGAGATGAATACACCAGAATATTCTCCCTTGTCTCTATATTTCTTTTAACACTTATTACTTATTTCTAAATTACAATAATGTTTATAATTAATTATTATCACCTCTCCCTCCCTAAAAAAAGCGTGCACCTTGTCAAAATATAGCCAATTATATAACTGAGTTTTACAACCATAAACATTAACAAACTCCACCTTTTAGTATTATTTTAAAAAAAAAAGACTAGGACAAGTGAAAACTAACCCGCCAACTAACCACCAATAAAATACTCATAGTGAGCAGATGAGCATTAAAGTACTCAACTCTACAAAGCGTATTCCTCACCAGGGGAAAATAGTCTAAGCCAGTACAGACCACGAAAAAAATAAATAAGAAGTTAGAGTAATGAGCAGCATAAGAAGTAAGAACAACCAAAACCATAAAAAATAATAATAATAAAATTAAAAAAAAAAAAACACAACAATCCATAAAAGATCCTCCCCTCAAACAATGCATCTCCCCCTTTTTGTCATAAGAATTGACAAAGGAAACCAGTATTGCAAGACTAAACCTCCACTCTCTATAAAGGGGGTCGACACAAACTGCCATCAAATAGTAGGAGTGTCACCTCCCTCTTCACCATCCATGGCGAAGGTGTCACTGCTGGAAATCTTGCTGTTTCCGTCCAACATTTCCGTCCAACCGTAAATGGGTCGGCATTTTAATAAAAATTTTAACTTTCTGTCACTAATGAAGGGTGGACGGAAAGTTGGTCAGAATTTCCGTCCAACGCAAGAGTGTTGGGCGGAATTTCCGTCCAACACTCACGCGTTGGACGAAAATAATTACGATCAATCTGTAGTGTTGGTTGGTAAATTCGAATTGATTGATAGGTAGAAATTAAAAATGTAGGCATTTTAATTTCCGTCCAACAACAATGTTGGACGGAAATTAAAATATTTTAGCTAAAATATAAAGGAATACTGGAATAGTGGACACTAAATAGAAAAGCGGGAAATATAGAACTTTGGGTGGGAAAAGGGAAGTTTGGCAATCAGCCTCTCTCTTTCTCTTGTAGACGAAGTTTTGCTATAGACCGTCTCTTTTTCAGACTTCCCGCTCCAGCTTCTCACTCTTCTCACTACTCTGCGAATCACTCTGCTCCACTCCGGTCAAATATTCTTGGCGCCATCGCGACAACCGTTCTTGCTGCAAATCTCCTTCCCGTCAAAGTCGCTCACCGGCGTCTCCGTCTCTATTGAACTACAAGTTAGTTCATTACTCAAATCTTAAACCCTAATCCCTAAATTCCTAATTTTATTTATCCCTAAATCATATTTTGATTAAGCCCTAAATCTGTATGTTTCCTTTTAATGTAATTTTATTGTTGAATTTTCCTTATTTTATTATAATAAATTTCTGATTTTATTGTTGAATTTGATTAAGCCCTAATTAAATCCGTATGGTTGCATCCCAAATTATATTGTTTTGAATGTTGTTTTAGACATATATAGTAGATTTCTATAGATTTTGAAGTTGTTAGTTCAAGTTCTTATAATGGGTCATTCTTGGATTTTGAGTATTGGGTTGTTTGTTTTGACAGTGAAGGGAAAAAGAGAAGGAAGTGTGGAGTCAGGATTCAGGAGAAGAATTCATCGGAGAAAAATGAGGGAAAGACAACATTTACATTGGTTGCTTTAGATTTTCATTGAAAGCTTTGAATTTTGAACAATATATTCTTTTAAACATTCTCCTTTTGTGTAGCTTTCTTACTTTCAATATTGGGTGTTTTTTGACATGACAGTATAAGGGTGATGTAGTGGATGGATTTTGTGCCTACATGTAGTCACCATTTTGGTTTGGAGGTATTTATATAAAACTTAGTTCTATCTCGGATGAAGGAAAAACCTCTGTTCAGGTATGTATCCAATGACTTCTTCTTCATCTTTTCTTTAGGAAATGGTTTCTTTTGGGAATGGAGTAATAAAAAGGGACTTTTGTATAATAAGCACACACTTCATGTCCCCATATAGGTGATATCAAACATAATAACACCAGATAACAAGAAACTTCTAAGTATGGCATAATTAAAATGCATGAAGAATTAACAACACAATTGCATGTCTAAGATGAACTCACCGACACGCATAAGAGATGCTCTATTATGCATAATAGAGACATTTTGAATTAAATTATACTATTTTTTAAAAGTTGCATTTCCTCTCCCTAATGGTTAGATTTGGTACCATTAAAAGACCCTCTTACTGCTTGTTAGGGTAGTAGATGCTTTTGAAGGTAAATACTTAGTGTCCTTAACATATTTTGAAAGGGATGCTGTGAACCATCTTTGTTTACTTACAATGAAGCCAGTCATATATGTGGCTAATGTTGCAGAGTCAGGTGTAGCTTAGCCTGAAAGCAACACTCATGTTAAAGAATTGATGAATACTGCTTACCTTATGAATATGGTATTGGCACCATGGTGTTGCAACTGAACCTGGGAGCTTCTTGATGCAGGTTGAATCAGAGCTAGCTGAACTGGCTCTATATGAAAGGATGGAATATTTAAAATCACTTGGTGTTAATGAACACTGCTGGAAATCAGCGTTTTTCCGACCACCAAAAAGTGGTCGGAAAATGTCAAAATTCTGTCGGAAACCCTTGTTCCGACCAATTTTCCGATCACTTTGGGGATTCGGAAAAATCCCCCTCGGTATTTTCGACCACCACATCAAGTTATCGGAAATACCATCCACTCTACTAACGTCGTCGGAAAAATTGGTCGTAGGCGGGAAAGTAATGTCGTGTAGTTTCCGACTACCAGGTGGCCGGAATGTCCGACCACTTGGTGGTCGGAAAGTTATTTTGTTAGTTAAAAAAATAAATTCCGACCATTTGGTGGTCGGAAAGTAATTTAATAAATAAAAAAAAATGTGGCCTGCTACCAGCTTCATCAGCCAATCCAGCAGCAGCTGCCAAATTAGAAAAACATATAAAACAAAAATAATGTCTAATAGACATTCATGCTTATAGCATACTGAACCTCACATTTTACGCCAATACAAATATTGCACCAAAAACTTATAATACAAAATATTTAGTGAAGTTTATCTGGCCACCAAGCTCATTGTTTCACATTAGTATAAAATCCATAAAGTTTGCCTATAGCTCGTCGTGTTGGTTTTATCAAATAAAAAATCATAAATACATTTAAGAGAAAGACTTGCAATGAAACAACTACCTCCTGAAACAAATAAGCTATCACAAAGTAGAGATCCTTACCCAAGTTCAGAGATCTTCAAATGAGCGTCTGCATGATCTGAAGTAGGGGAGAAACCATGGAACACGTGTTATTAAAGGTGGATTTGCATCAGTATATTGTAAAACAAAGAAACAGAATATCATTTAAACCACTACAACAAGAAGAAGGTGAAAGCAGATTCAATAATGATCTTAGATCTCCAAGGTTACAGGTGCTTAGCCAATTACCAGAAGACACAGATTCATAGTAAAGGAATAAGCAATATACAAGACTTAGAAATAAATAACTACAATCAGGTAGCATGCATATTTTTATATAAATAAAGTCAACAAATTCATTGGACTGATACCTTATCAGGATTATTTTTAGTAAGCACGGCTCCAACTGCTCCACCTAGTGACCTTCCAAACAAAACTATTCTTGATGTATCAATATCTGTCCTCTGAACCAGATGATCTAATGCTGCCTATATGGAAGACAACAGCATATATTATAACTCAAACTGAATGATATGCATGAAAAACGGTGAGACGAAGTTCTGGGGGCATACAAAACCTGAGTGTCCTTTGTTATTCCATGTTGAGAAGGGTATCCATCACTGGCACCATATCTATTTACAAGAAAAAACAAGCTTAGTATGCATCAAAAAGTTATTGCTAAGGCAAACTACAGGGGGTAAATTCAATAATTTGCATACCCTTGGTATGAAAGCATAAAAACATTGCAGTTCAATCGTTGTAACAATATGCGGACCATTTCAAGACGATGGGCAATATCTAAAGTTGACTAGTTAAGGCTAAACCAAGTGTAACTAAGTAATGATAAGAAATTTGAAAAGAACAAACATCACCCAAAATAACAAGAAAAGGATACTTCCAGCATTTTCCTGAAAAAAGAGGATAGTTGGGCCTGCAATACAAAATTAAACCACCAGCAACCATCATTAGCAAACTCACACAATAAACTGGCAACAAATCATTTATTATCACAATCTGCAACATTCTTAAAGTTGTCTGAAAGATTCATTATATTTTATATGTAACAGCTAAGCAACCTAGAGACATTACTACTCAATAACATAGCTATTTACATTTTGCAAAAAAAAAAAAAAAAAAAAAAAAAAAAAAAAAAAAAAAAAATCACTTCCCAGCATCTTATAAGTAGATATCATAAATAGAAGTAACAAAATCATTATTGCCACTTCAGATGGACTAATTTCAATTATTAGAATAATTTCCCAAACTCTGCAATCCAACAGCCTATACCTCAGAAATTGAAGCTCATCTAAAAGTATAAACAAATACACCAATACTCCTGTCTATCACCAAGTTACAAGACTGGCATTTGATAGAAAATTAGAAATTAATCTCCTGTTCTGAATTTACCAACAAGTTATTAACACAGACCTTTAGTTCATAATCTTAAATGACCTAGTAAGTTCCAGCTCACGAACTCTTCAGCAAGATCCAAGAGAAAGTGAAAATCAATGGATTCTTAGCAGTAAAGCTACATTTAAAGGGTCTTAGAAATCCCAAAGCATATGTAATTAGATACTCAATATTTCTCTAAGCAAGCCATGAAGAATAAAACAGGCATCTATGGGAGAAAAAAACAGTTTATTACAATAGTTTTGATCTATACTATCAACATTTCAATGAATTAATCATGTAATTAATTAAAGTCTACTGGAACTATATTTTGAATGATGCTTTTGATCTATACTATCAACATTTCAATTCTTGGTTGTAATTGAAACAATATGCCGGCTTGTGGTTGTGCCCTAAGTGGCTACTGAAACTATATTGGAGTTGGTACCATACTGACAATTTGTAATACATTATATTCCAGTGAGATTAGTTGACTGCAATGCCATATTGGAGCTTATACTTTTTCATTAGCCTTCAAATTTTGGGAGACCTGCAAATGTTTAATTGCTATTTTCATTAAGTCCAACCCATGTTCAAATAATACAACATATTTTTAAAATTATGAACTTAATTTTTTTGAAACTAAATATACCCTTGTTGTAGATGGAAGGGCATCCCCATGGGCCTTCAAATAATGTTGGTGCCTGCAAATTTATATCCAAAGTCCTTTCAGTCAGACAAATTATAAAGCAAAAATGATGCTAATACTCATGTATTTTTTTTTTTTTAAATAGAAGCTTTGAAATCACAAACTGTACCAAGACTTTGGATTTGAGAATCTAAACTTGCTGTAAATTATGAGATTCAATTAACCTGTTCCTTGACAAGGAAAATCTATCAGTATTGGAAAAACTTTTAAAATAAATAAGTTACATCAGGCATTCAACTAAAGCATATGTCAATAATTAATAAGTAATGGATTGGATCAAGTTATGTACTAACGCATTCAACTCTAACATATGATAAGAAATAATTACAAAACTTGGTAGGCTGTTAAATAGCAAACTGTTATCAACATAAACTTGAACAATTTTAATGAAAAGGAGTATGTTAGCAGATATAACTCAATAATGTCTGTAATATAATGTCTGTAAAACTTAAAACTAATAGAACATACATTTGCAGCAGACTCTGATGCAATGTTTAATGACACAAGCTATCATTACTTAGGAAAGAACTCTTCAGTTCCACTGACACACTCATAAAGCACACACATATTGTGCCATTAAAATTCAAATGCCAACTACAACCCTATTTAAATACATTCTATTATGCTCAAACAAATATAAACACACTATAAAACAGCTATAGTAGGAATTGTAGCGATAATAGAGGAATAGGAGAATAAAGCTCAAAAAAACTTATCTATTTAGGCTATTTTGTTTACCAGAACACAGAAATTCAATCAACAGGTTAATATATCATGCTAGATATAAGAATGAAAACACTCTCAAAAAACGATTTAGGGATTAGGTCTGATCTACGAGAAGAAAAGCGCCAGACAAAGAATTAATTGCATGCACTATTAATCAAACTTAAAATACTAAAAAAAAAAAAAAGTAATTGAACTTCAATTAAAACGATCTAAAATTTCTATTAGGTTTTCAGAAACAAGAACACTGGGATTACACATAAATATGATGAAAAATACTGAAATTCAAGATATAAAATACATACCTTCCTTCCTATGAACTTAAAAATCAGCTTCTGTTGAGGGATCTTCCAGATGATTGAGGTTTTGACAGTTGTAAGTAAGATTCGAACAGACTGTAATAGAGAGAGATATCTAGAGACGGTAATGTCGATTTCTGCTAGAGGATGAGGGTAACTAAAGTCTGTAAAAGAGGGGATTAAAAGCGAGAGATAGAGAGAGTGTGTCGAGATGATTGCAGAGAGAGAGGACGTCGTGAGAACCTTAGGGCAAATGAATCGGGCGACTGTGCGAGAGAAGTGAGTGTTAAGTCTCGAACTCTAATTTTTGTAATATGTACAATAAATAATTTCTTAAAAGACAAAAAAAAGCATTGAATAACTGAAAAAAAAAAAAAAAAATTCGACATCTTCTTTGTTATCATAAATTCCGACCACCAAGTAGAAGATGGTCGGAAAATCCGACCTTTTTCTGTCCAGTCCAATACTTTGACGGAAAATTGAAAAAAATTCACTTTTTTCAACCCTTTTTATGAGTGGTCGGAAAAGTGGTCAGAAAAATGATAATTTCCAGCAGTGGAAAGTGGCCTTGGAAATCTTATTAGGACAACATATGCCCTACTGGGTTTGAGAACATACTTCACTCCTGGCGAGAAGGTGATGTGAATAACTATGCATTACTATAAATTTTGTAAGTTCATCATATTAACATAATTGTCCTTGTATCTTACAAGAAACAATTTTGTTAGGGGGAGACAGTTTTGGTAAACTTGCATTTATCTTGCAGTGCAGATGGTTTACAATTTTGTTAAACATAAGTGTCTAATCATAATGTTTATGTAGGCATGACTGCACCTCAAGCTGCTGGAGTTATACAGTCTGAAAGGTGATTGGTTTTGGTCAGAACATGAATATCCCTAACATGTATGGGTGCTTTTGATGGATGGTGGTGCATTTCAAGTATAATTGATGAAATGCTTTATCTCAGGTTGCTTATGATGATTTTGTTGCTGCTGGATCATTTGCAGCTGCAAGAGAGAAAGGACTTGTAAGTTTGTTTTTCCAAGTGCTGCGTATGTTTTTTGTATGATTTTTTGCTTTTTGAAATCTATCACGGTCCATTTTTGGTGAAGGTCTACACTTGATCAAAGTCATTGAAGAAGAAGGCTATGGATGGTGCATTGATCAAAGCTATTGAAGTAGTGTCGCATTTGAAGGCTTATTAATTTGGGTGCAGCGAGCACACTTAAGTAGTATCAATTAAGTAGTATATATTTTCATACTTAAGTAGTATATATTTTTATGACTTTTTTTTTTTTATGAACATGATCATAATTTTTATTGAAAATAATTTTGATGTTTAAATATATTTTCAATTTTCAATTTAGTATCCATTAATTTGTTGATGACATATAATTTATTTACAACACGTATAAATAAAATTATGGTAATATAAAAATAATAAAACATTCCATATGATTTAAGATTTTCCTACCAACAGTTAAAAGGAAAATAACAAAAGATAATATGTGAGTTTTCCGTCCAACATTGATTGGAATTTCCGACCAACACATGTATTTGGATGGAATTTCTGACCAACGCACGTAGTTGGACAGAAGTTCCCACGTTTTAAAAATTGTGGGTTACTTGCCGGAATTGGCACTAAAAACAGAAACTAACTGCCAAAATTAGCTGACATGGATTGGGCAGTCGAATGAATCCGAATGTAGACACGTAAAGACACAAGCTAAGTATGTGGAGAAATATAATGGTAGCAAAGTGATGGATACAAAGTACATTAAGATTAACGCTCGCTAGCATTAGTACAGTGTCGTCATGGTTGCATACTATACGTACGTACTCACATTTATTCCCTGGCCTCAATATAAATACACACCACTCCTTCCACCCTTAATGTACAAATTACATAACAACATTATTGAGTGTAGCCTAGCTATTATATTATTGCAAATATATACCTACGTATATATAAAGAAATCCTACACAATATTTGTTGCCTTTCTTTTCTGCTTCCTCATTGCGACACATACCGGTAAGTAATCGTGGCATTATATATATATGCATGGTTTGTCAATTTGATTTTGTACGTATTATATATGTATACGTCTGCTCTAACGAACTAACTTTGTAGTTAATATAATATAATGTTATGTTGATAGAGAGTAAAGTGGTTGAAGAAAATGTGTGCGGGAGGCTAAGCAAATCGTACTCCGGTTGGTGTGATGGTGGCGACTGTTCTCTCCATTGCCGGGATGTTGAAGGCGCCGTTGACGGCTCATGTCACTGGCACAACGTTGGAATGGCTTGCTTCTGCTATTTCAATTGCTGACGAGAGACTAATATCATATATATAATTCAACTTCTATGCCTGAATGTCATGTCATGATGATCTGATCTGCAATAATAACAATATAGCATAATAATCCCTCAAAGTATGAATTCAATAATACTGCATGCATGCTGCCAGCTTGCTAATTGTATTACAATGAATTGTACTTGGCAGAAAATAATAAAATAATTAATAAGAAGTGTGTCTATCTCTTTTTCAATAGCCAAAGTTTTTGGCGAGTTGGTTGTATAATATGTATGTGTTATTTTTCAAGTATTAATTTTATTGGTGTAGGGACTAGTTCGTCAGTGACTCTATCAATAGTATTGACCTACACCTATCTAATTTGTCATAATATAGCCAATTATATAACTGAGTTTTACAACCATAAACACTAACAAACTCCACATTTAGCTATTGTTTTGGCAAAAAGATCCGACTAGGACAAGTGAAAACTAACCGGCTAACCACCAATAAAATACTCATAGTGAGCAGATGAGCATTAAAGTACTCAACTCTACAAATCGTATTCCTCACCAGAGAAAAATAGTCTAAGCCAGTACAAACCACGACAAAAATAAATAAGAAGTTAGAGTAATGAGCAGCATAAGAAGTAAGAACAACCAAAACCATTAAAAAAAAAAAAAATCAATCCATAAAAGATCCTCCCCTCAAACAATGCATCTCCCCCTTTTTGTCATAAGAATAGACAAAGGAAACCAGTATTGCAAGAGTAAACCTCCACTCTCTATAAAGGGGGTCGACACAAACTGCCATCAAACAGTAGGAGTGTCACCTCCCTCTTCACCATCCATGGCTTGAAGGTGTTGAGCCCGTTGTTGAATAAGTTCTCTGGCTTGCTCATGAGCTAGTTCCCTCGCTATTCCCCTGTTTCCAAAATACAGGAGAATAGTTCCAACTATGTTGTCATCAGCAGGAACAAAAATCTGGGCAGGAAACATCACTCACAACCCCCCCCCCCCCCCCCTATATAGAGTACGATTAGAGTCACCATCCATCTTTGAAAGCATCTTAAATGCAAGACGATACAAATGTTCTACTTGATTTTATATTGAGTTATAATCATGTCCATTAATTAAGTCATTTATCAATAATAAATAACAAAAATTAAGTGCAGAAAATAAATCAAGTAAACAATAAATTGTTACGCAGTTCAGAGCGCTTCTCCTATGTCTGCGGGGCAACCCACGTCTGCCCAATCCACTATAGATGTTCACCAAGGAGTTTTACAAAAGTAAGTACATAAGGCTACCAGCCACTACTACCACAACACCTTCCTAACACTTACTCAGGACTAGTACGTGCATGCCATGACGATCTTCAAGAGATGCTTCAGCTAACCCAGGTACAGACAGTATAGCTCAAAATAAAAACTACATAAAACAAGGTAATAAAATAGATTAATAAGATGACACTGTATAGAATTTCCCTTCTCTCAATTTGGCAGTTCTCAATTTTTCAATATAATTTCCATAATGGAATGCTTTCCTTTTATAGTAATAAAATACGCCACCAGCTTGATCCATATAAATATCATACCATTTGCTTCGAAGAACCACAACCACTCTTTTAAATTTGAATTCCTCATAATAAGCATCCACCAATTACAAGATCTGCTGATTTCCCTTTATCATGTAACCAATAATTGATAGTCATTCAAATAGATATCTTATGATAGAAAATGGTCCAAAGAGCTTAGTCAAACACATGAGCAGACTTAGATGATTGTCCTATTTCAAAACCAAGACCTGTTCTACAGTTAGATTTCCTGTCGGAGTCTAGAATTTTGTCCAAAGTAGAAGTAGTATCCATCATCTTAATGTTTTGAGTATTAAGATCATCTTTTGTAATCAGATCGACATTCAATTTCTTCAACTGTTCCTCACGCTATCTGAGATCTTCGTTCATATTTTTGTTGACTTTCACCAGTTGCTCCAAGCAAGCCACAAGTTTAGCAAACTCTTGTTCTAACTGAGTATGTTTCACTTCAAAGTCATCTGAAGACATGTAGCTTCATCGTCCTCATCACACTTTAAGTGAACTTCTGTTGTAGTGAAAAATGCAACAATGTTTCCAGTATTCTCATCAGACACCTGGTTTGCACTATCCTCTTTGTCATCACTTAGGGTTGAAGAAGCAGGCATGTATTTCTTTCTTTTAAGATACGGTGCACATTCAGACTGAATATGACCAAATCCCTCACATTAACGACATTGAACTGATCAATTTTGAGATTTACCTGTAATGTTTTTACTGTTCTTAGATGGTCCTGATCGAGAAGATTGACCAGTCTTAGTGTTTGAAAATGTCGAACCGGACTTTTGATTAGAGGACTTACCACCCCTTGATTGATTCTTATTGAATTGTCCTTGACCTCTTCGAATGAATTCCTTCAAGATCTTCTTGAAACTCTTTGTGAGTAACACCAGAGATTCATCATCTAGTTTCTCAGTGTCAGAATCTTGATCAGCATCAACAACAAATGCCACTGACTTTCCTTTTCAAACAGAACTAGGGTTATCATATGCTAAGACTTGTAATTCATACGTGTGTAAGCTACCCATTAATTCATCAACACTCTTCTTTTCCCATCCTGAATTCTCTTGAATAGCAGTTACTTTCATGCGGAATCGTTTGGGCAAAGATCGAAGAACCTTCTTAACGACTTTTTCCTTTGTAAATGGTTTACCAAGAACAGATGCCATATTCATCAATTCCTGAACACGACTATGAAAGTTTGATATATTCTCATCTTCTTTCATTCTTAGGGCTTCAAATTCAGAAAGAATCATCTAAAGCTTTGACTGCTTGACATCATCAGTGTGTTCGTATCTTGTTTGCAAGATCTCCCATGCCCGTCTTGCTTCTTTCACCCCTGTAACAAGAGTAAATACTTATTCATGCAGAGATCCTACAATGGAATTTCGTGCTTTATTATTGAGATCAGATTTGTTCATCTCATCCTCAATCCAATCTGCCATCGGTTTCATTGCTGTAGATCCATCCGCATTCAGTATAGTTGGAGGAGTCCAACCAGTGATCAATGTATGCCAGACCATTGTTCCTTGCGCTTGGAGATAGATTTCCATTTGTGTTTTCCAAAAAGAATAGTTTGAACCATCCAACTCCGGGGGTTTCATGTTTGCATCCATCGTGTCAAACACAGAAAACCAACCAGTATACGCATACAAAGAGACAGAGACTCAAGAAAATAAAAAAAGTATGAGATATTCTATCAAGAAGATTATCAAAACACTGCAAAAGGTTTTTCCCTTACGGATCAAGTCACTATGTAGACTTAAAAGCTCTAATATCACATGTAATTTTGCATGTTCTGATAATCGATAACTAGTGATCTAATATCTAGCCTAAAACAGTGTTCAGTTGAAGTTGAAGATATCTTAACAGATGACTCTACAAGAGACATCAACAGATATGAACACAGTGCGGAAATGTAAAGGCAGAAAGTAAATGACGCCAGTTATTTCGTTACACGATTCGATACAGTGTGTATCTACGTCTGGGGGGACGATCAACGATGCGTCCAATTCATTATCTCCAACTCCAATGTACAAAGGTAAAGATGTAAAGATCTCACCCAAAGTGTCCACACTTGGTCAGTACCCAATCTACAATGGAATAGTGAATTGTTGAAGCCGAAGGTTTACTGTGCAATTAGAAATCCAAGAATCCCTTCTTTGGAGAGCTATTCTGTTGTAGTCCGCTTCACTGAATCATCCTTCAATGTACCCACAGTTGCATGATCATAGCGTCCACTCATTTAAGCATCAAGATTTCTTCTCAAGTTCATCTTCATAAGCTCCAAAACTTTTGTCTTGAGAAGAGAGAAAAATCAGAGTTCTTTTTAGAGATTGGGAGAGATTGTTTGTGATTCGAGTTTTTGTAATTTTCTCGTCTGTCTTCTTGAATCATCTCTTTTGG